ACTTGGCAATCCTAAAGATCTTTTCCAACTCAAATGATTCTCTAATTCTGTGATTTTCTGTGATTCTCTGATTTCCTGTGTTTGCTTCCTGAATGGACTCTTTCAGTCTAGTTTTTCATTTCAGTTTCAGAATAATTTTCATGTGAAGTTTTAAGCACTGCGTTTTACCAGCTTAAAAGAAGACAATTTCCCCGTTGCAAAGAACTTCTTCTGTGCCATCAGTGGAGAGTTTGAACAACTTTTTATTTCAGATGCCTGGCTGGAGCCAAAGGTGACCTCTCACTGCTTTCAAGCAGGATCCATCCTCTGGCTGAGTGGCTGGGCTGGGGTGGCCAGCAGAGCAGCATGTGCTCCTCCTGGCTCAGCAGCAAGTAAGACAATCCTGGGACACTGCAGAAGGTGAGGGGACACAGGAGATCAGGGATGGGTGGTGGAGCCTGAGGAATCCTGAAGGGAGAGACAGTGAGCACGCAGTCTGCAGGGAGAGGGGGTGGGAGTGAGGTCAGGAACAAGGTGCAGCTGCTGGTTTTGGGGTGGCACAGGCATGTGGGGCAGCCTCAATAACCCCTGTGCACCTCTGAGCTCAGGCTGAGCCTGCAAGGCAATGCTTCAAATGAAGGCACAGAGTATTTAGCACCTTCCCATGCCAAGAACCTCACTGTTGATCCTCCAATGTCTTTTCTACCCAGCCAAGTCAGCTTGTGCTTGGGAGAGATTTAATATCAAACATAGTGTGAAATTCAATCTCTCCTGTTAGACGAGCTCTGACAATGGAGCTGCCATGTGCTTCGTGGGTCATGTCAACCTTAATTTACTGCCCCTGGGTACTGTGGAAATGTCTCAAGATTGTCACACTCCCACACTGCTGAGCTCTTGGCTTGTGCACAGTGATCAGGCAGAAGGTAGTCACAGGAATGGGGCCTTTTAGAGGGGGGAAAAAGCATTCAAAAGCAGCCATGGGCAACCTCCACTATTACTAGACCTGTTGAAATTTATGTGGACTGGTACATTACTGACAATACAGCAAGCCACCAAATGACAAAAAAAAAAATCAGAGATAGTAAAAGATAAATTCTTGGAACATTGAAGGAAAAGAGGAGAGAGAGAAGAAGCATATTTAATTCATGATGTGGGGAGAATAAAAAAAATGAATCAAAAAATGTCAGATGACCCCTCCTCAAGTGTCAAATCCACTTAGACTGCAAGAAAGGAGGGTAACTTCTTTTACCATATATAAAGCATACACAAAACTTCACTATTCTTTTTATTTTCAATAATAATAAAAAAGGGAAATAGCCAATAGCATCTTTCATCTGAGTCAGCTTCAATATCTTTCTCCTGCCCTAACCCAGGCAGTATTGCTGCTGTTTGGTTCAGGCTGTTCTTCTTACAGCTTACAGAGCTACAGCACATATGAGGTTAATTCTGCAATTTTAGTTCCATTTACCACTGACCATTTTTTTCATGTATTTCAAACAGTGGGAGCAAAGAGACATTGTTTTGCTTGTAGGAACCAAGCATTAAGAAATCAGAACTGAAATGGCAGGACTCCCTCATTAAAGATGAAATGCAGATGCTGCGTGGTGCAGTTTGTAGGCAGACTGTGCAAGTAAAACTCCCTGAGCCTGTGTAAGCTCCAGGGCCCAAGAGGATTTGCCTGTCCCCACACTGCCCCTCTCTGCAGTTCAGAGATACCTTGTTTTGTTCTCAGTTCTTTGGCATTGGATGAAAGTCCATGTACTGTTCTATATCAGACTAGTGGTCTGAATGGGAAGACAGATTTAAATAGTTTTAAGACAGAGGAAATCTTTCTTTCTAAATAAATATCACGAAAGGCAAATAGTCATCAAAATACTGTTTGTGTAGGAAAGAGGCCAGTAAAATCATGCATAAAGGTCCTGAGCCATGCTGCAAGTTTATTGATTTTCCTAACACAGACCCCTCTGATGTAGCTTTTGGAGGCTTCCCCAGCAGCAGCCAGCAGGACCTTCTCAAGCACTATCAGCTTGGGGAATGAAACTATGACTTTTGTGATGGATGTTCCAGATGGGTATGCCAGAAATCCAGCTTTCATTCCCTTCTGTTAATTAAGATAGTGAGGTTTAGCTCCCAGAGGATCTTACAGAGTCTGATACACTGCAAGGATCCTTCTCACCCCTACCCCCAGGATTTAAATTCAAAATACCTAGGTGGCTCCTTGGGCACATGTCCTTTCTTCTCTTCCCCAGTAATACCCTAACCCCTCTGCTACAGGACATGTCCTACCAGGTGAATTTTGTGGTCTCTTTCTAGATATAAGGAGAAGATCAGCAAAAGACCCACTGTGGGTCTGAAAAGCAGCTGTGCCTACAGCTCTCCAGTGGTGGGATATCTGAACTGCCTCAAGATGAGCAGGGAATTGAACCAAGGACTCCTACAATCTGTTTTCCCTGATGCTTCTCAAGTGAAAACACAATGTTACTCCCCAGAAATGGCAGAGACGGGTCCTGTAAAAAGTAGGAGGATCAGTACTGTGCCAGCAGCAGGACTCTTCAGCCCATTGACAGTAACTGCTCTGCAAGGTGGATGAATGATGATCTCATTGTGAGCCTATCTGATGTTTTCCTAAAAAGCACAATAAAGTGACTTTCCCAAGGTGTTGAGGAAAATCTGTGGCATGGGGGCATTAAGGGCTCCATTTTGGGGTGAAATTTTGCATCAGCCTCTAGTTTGCTTGAAACCTCATCAAAAATCGTGCAGTGCTCTGGTATAGCACTGCATGGAGTTATACTGGCACAACAACAGGCTGAAAATTCTCTCATGGGCTTTATTCATCTCAACATTTGCCTTTCAACCCAACCTAGTCATGTATGATCCTGCCATGACCAGTAGGGATGGATACCTCCAGATGGAAAATCATCCTCTCCCAAGGGAAACATCTAAGCCACTGCCTGCCTTTCCTCATGGGCTACAGACAGACTGTGTGACTGACTCTGGCTAGATGGTTAAGGATGAATGAATTGAATCAGATCTTAAGCCACAGAGCTTTAGTTTCCATAGACAAGATGCTTTGGGTGGATGAAAACAGCATTTTCTCTAATGCATGCACTCACAGCTGCTCTCTGAGTAGCCTTGGGCCACACTTAGGGCTTCTTTGAGCAGGAGCAAACTTTAGATTGAAGGGTTATGTTCAAAGCTGCTTCCCAGCCTTCCATTTGAGCCACAAACAGTGCTGTGCAGGGGAGAAAGGCTCTACTTCTTGTCACAGGATGGCATTATTCTTGTTTCCTTGTCTCTGTTACTGGGCAAAGGTTAATGGCAGAGGTGTGCCTGCTGCTCGTTTGGCACACGGTTCTGTCAGGCCTGGCAATGGTCTGATTTTATTGTCAAAGTGTTCCTTCACAAATTGCCAGGTAAAATTCTATAGCTCATGAAGAAAGCCATACAAGACCATCATAATGGTCTCTTATGGCAGATCCAGAACATTTTCCCCCCCTTACGTTAACTTCATATCTGTTTGATCCCTCTAACTTCATGTAATTTCAAAGGAGAATTGCAATTTCTGAAATAATGCTTTTAAAGCTCACTCTGAAATGGATGTGCAAAAAGTAGAGGTCAGTTTTCTCGATGAGGGTTTACTCAAAGAATCAAGGTACAATGTGTATGAGTTCTTCCTTGGAGGAGCAAGAAATTAACAGAGAAATGAATGGAAATCCTGAATCTATCAAGGATCATCATGCCCTGTGCTGTTTATAAAATCACTTCCTCGTGCAAGTGCCACAGCCCTCTGGTTTTTCACTAATCTTATGCAGGCGGGATTTTCCCCCTAATTTTGGTTTTGCTGCTGTTCAAATTCCACCACCCCTATGTAGCACTTTCTAAGTGTGCAATTCCCAGTTGAATGGGAGGTGAAGCTGCAACCCAGGCCATGGAGAGTGGACTCACAAACATCCCTGTGTCTCTCCAAACACCTTCTCCTGCTTCCCCTCCTATCCTGGCTAGCAGCACATGGAAAGTTTTTGTCATGGAGGACATTCTTGGGCAGGAAGGAAGCAAGGGCTGTGGCCAGGAGCCATTGTGGCCACCTGTTTGGATGTTCACTTCAAAGGACAACAAACTGACAACCCAAACGTGCAACCAACCAAGAGCTGAACAGAGCTGCATGGAGAATTCACCCAGTATTTGGGGCTGGGGTACAACAGGCCTTTGCCCAGGCTGTGTCTGACCTCAAACAAGAGCAGCAATCGGATGATGGTGCCAGCAGAGCTGAGCCAGCATTGTGCTGGATGTGCTCTGTGCTGCAGTGCATCTGAGGCATGCCATTCTTCCCACATACACTGCTGTACCCACCCAGTTATGAAAGAGCCCTTGGCTGCCTGCCCTGCTGCTCCAGCATTGCATCTTTAGCCTGAATTAAACTCCACTCCAAAGCCTGCTAATACTCCTTGCCATTATTGCTGTTTGGAAGGAGAGGGCTCTCGTGGTTTAACACCCTGGGAAGACTCTGAGGCAAGTGCCAGCACACACAGCAAGAGGCAGGTGGACTTGTTCCTGGTTCAGAGTAGCTTGTGCAGGTCAGGACCAGTAATGGAAATGCTACTACAGAGGCATTAACTGATGACAACAACCACAGCATTAAACCAGGCTCTGGAAGATTTGATTTCTGGTTCTATCCATGTGCTGATATACAGGCTAACCCTTTCATGGTGCAAAACTCTATTTCCTGAAGAGAAGAGTCACTCACAAGGAAGATTGAGGAAAAGCTGCTTGTAGGAGTGCAGCAGCAGAGGGTTCAAGGATTCTGTGAGGCTCCCAGAGAAATAGCAAAAGGGTTTCTGTCTCTTGTAGGGAAAGGCAGGATGACCTGGTCTCCTGAGGTAGCAAGCAGCCAGGTTCTTGTGTGTACTGGTCACACCTTCCTTTTATTTATTATATTTTTCCTTCACAGCTGATCTCTGTATTTGCCCTTATTGTCTTTGGATGCAGAGTGGAGCCTAACTCTGGGACTTTTCTGTCCACAGGCCACTTAGGTAGAGCCTAGCAATTTACTGCATCAGCATACCAGAAAATGGCCAGGGTGAATGGGCCATTGTACCCAGTGCCTTTATGGATGTGACTTCAGATGAATCTGCACTGGATCTGTGTTATTAAATGGAAATGGTAAGGAAACAAGAAACGGGAAACAAAAGATCCTCTGTAGATGGTAACTCCTGCAATGTTAAAAAAGAAAAAAAAAAAAAAGAGAGAGAAATGAGGCTGCTCTCAGCTCTTTGTATGGATTTATTACAAATAGGGCCAAACATCACACACAATGTTGTTTCTCTGTGTTTCTAACCAGAGGGATTTATTCTATCACCATTTTATAGTATATTTCTGGGACACCCTCTGCTGGGATGTGATGAATAGCATCACCTATTACAGTAACTGCTGCTTACCATGGCCCAAGAGCCAGAAGCAGGTGACACAGAGACGTAAAACAGAGTGACCTTTTCTCAATATATCTGGAACAAAATTTATGCAAAACTGAAGATGTTGAGGACAACTCAAAAATTACCCCAGGAACTGGTGAATGCCACATGAGCAGAGAGTGAAGGGTCCTGCATGCCAAATGAGTGCCCTGAGTTCGTAAGAGCTTGTTTGTATTACCTGTGGGTTTGAGTTACGAGATGCAGCATTTGGCTCTGCATTTGAAGGTAATTGTTTACAGTGTATTTTATGACTGTTTACAAATGTGGTTTGAAGAAAACAATGGAATATGTAACATGTTGTTTTTCCCCAGGTCTTCAGTCGATTAAGTTTGTATTATTTTAAGTGGCTAGACTAGAAATTTAAGTAATTGTTATTCATATTAGAGATAAAGCTAAGGATTCAGCTGAGCTCCAGGCTGCATTGTGAGAGCTGCTGTGTCAGGGTTTGGGAATGGTCTTGATCTGAAATACAAAAGGATCAAGACAGGCTGGTTAATCCTATTATTAGATATTCCCATAAGAACAGGCTTTCACTCATGGTCCTATTGCAAGCACCTTGTGTGGCCACAGTCAGCCATTTAGGGTTATTTTTTAGGGTATTTATGGAAAAAAAAACCCCAAAACAACAAACCAAAATATACCACATTTAAAGCATTGGCATTTAGGGAGACCAAGATCCCCTGGTAGATTTAAGTGCCATAATGCCAAGATTAATTTAAAGGTATTTTCTGCCAGGTATGGGGTAAACCAGCAGTTCCCACCTGCTGAAACCTGCAGCCTTCACTTAGCTCACCATGAGAGATTTAGCCCAGGACTATAATGGCTGAGGGTTGTTTCATTGATGTTCAGTGGCTTATTTGATAACCATTGCTACTGAAACATCATTCTAGTTAGGAAAAACAGAGAGCAGAGATGCTTGTGCCTAAGGAACAAGAAGAGGGTGCAGAAATTAGGGACAATGCCCCCAGCTGTCATGCAGACTTGCTGGGTGATTGGGAGGGAGTCTGCTAATCTCTCAATAGTCAGTTCACAACTTAATAACAAAAATAATCCTTCCTTTTTCCTACTCTTTGTGTTTGCTATTTAGCTTTTCAAGTCTCAAAGGCGGGAAACATCAGTGTGAGATGTGCCCTGGCTGGTATCCCAAGGCCACTGTCAGGTGAGGAACTTCTGGGGGCAAGAGTGTTGGAAGAGCTCACATCCACAATAACCAGAAACAGAACCTTTATTGAGCAGACAGAAGAGGCTCTGGAGCTGAAATGTGCAGGAAGATTAAACTCATCATGCTGAGAAGTGCTGCCCCAAGGCAGACGGGGGAGTTGCAGAGGAGCTTGCCCTGCCAGTGAACACTCTACCTGTTCACAGAAGATTATACACCTTGCTCTAGGGCTGGCAAGCCAGGGCTTATCTGCTTCAGAACAAATTCTGACAGAGACTGGGTGCCATTTCTGTGCCTCAGGCTGCTGCAAGCTATTCTCCTTCAGCAGCAATTCTCATAGGATCTCAATCCAAGGTAGGTTTCTTAGCTACCCTGAACTGTAAGATCCATTGCAAAATCTGCAGGCAATGGTGCTGGCAGCTTAGGAGTTTCCTCTGGGCCTGGCATGTGCTTAAACTACTCATGAGCTATCTGGGCTCCTCAGCTTGATTTCCATCCATGGTTGACTCATACTTTATTTCAAGGATTGTTTGCATTTTTATGCCTCTGAGACTGGGTCCCGTGGGAATCCTTCCCAAACTCACTACATTGACCTCCTGTTTTTCCAGCACATAACCCCTTCTCAGAAGAGGTCATTTGATCCTCCACCATAAATACATGAATCAACACTTTATACTTTTATGGGATTTTGCCTGAGTTTTCCAGTTTCACAGCACCTCTGAAGGTGGGTTCAGGGTTTGATGGTGCCCAAAAAACTTGGTCTAGTGGGTAGCATCCCTGCCCATGGCAGGAGGTTGGAACTAAGTGGGTTTTAATGTCCCTTCCAACCCTAACCTTTCTATGATTCTGTGGTTCTATGGTTCTGTGGTTCTATGATTCAGGCCATTGTGCTAGAGTGAGGTTCAAGGGAAGAAATCAGAGGAGCATTTTGAGAAAGCTTCACCAATTCTCCAGGTAAATCAGTCAGTCACAAGTGTTACCTTGGCCCCAGCCTGTTAACAAGCTTGAAACTCATTACCTAAAAGACCTAACCAAATAGTTTACTGAGATAGACAACTCAGAGACAGGTACAGGATGGGGAACAGATCTGCTATAAATCTCTTCTGGCCCTATGGGAAGGCCAAACACCTCTGTCAAGTCTTTATTTGTACATGACTGAAACAAATTCAGTCCCACCCTACTGATGGAGGGCAGTCTGTGAAAGTCGAGCTTATGTATTCATAGAAGAGTGCCCATGAGTAAAAAAAAAATAATTATAGATGCATAGGAATTCACAGCTAGTACAAACCAAAGCTCATTTCAGTTTTCTGCAGTTTCAAAATAAACAGTGTATCTCTGTGTGTGCACTTGCACTAGCAACCAGACCTGTTTTTTCAAAAGAAACCCCTAATGTCATGGGGTCTCAATGGAAAGGCCAGTGCAAGTTACTGACAGTCTTAATCCATTGCACTTGCAGGGCAGATGTTACTTCCTGTGACCATGCACCAGGGCAGGGTAAGCAATACCCACAGATGCACAGCTAATATACAGATATCAAAGGCCTGTTTTGCTTGTATGTGGTCCACTAGCTGTCTGGGCATGTATTTGGTATTAGCTGGTTAATCATCAAAGAAAGCATGTCCCCCCTGAAAATAACCCAAAGAAATTATGCTTCCACTAAAATGAGATGGATGTTCTTGCCAGAGTCAGAGTACTCTTCCTATGCCTCTGATCTGTGAGACAAGAACCTTCAACCATGAAATATGTAAAGGAATATACACTTTACATGCATAAGATAAAGGGCAAGTAATTTAACAAAAAGTTTGCAAAGATATAGAAAGTCTTCTGGGTGGTGAAAGAGGAGCTGCTGGGAAGGTCTGGAGCCAAATGTTTGTGCTGGCCCTTGCTGCTCCCTCCCTGCTCTGTGGGGCACACACATCTGCCTCACACCAGGACAAAGGAGGCTCCTGAAGGACTGTTGGGTACCAGCCCCAGCCTTTCACATCTCAGTGCTCTTCAGGAGTGGAGTGGCTCTGGTGGGAAAGGATGGCTGCTCTGGGCTGCCTGCTGGCAAATGCATGGATGGGCCAGCACCTCCCAGCTCCTTGGTTAAACCCAAGGTGTCTCATGCACCCCTCTGATGTGGTTTGCACTTTACCAGTACTGCTGCAGCTGCTGGACCCAAAGAACAGAGAGCTCTAGTTGTTACAGCAAGAAAACATCACTGAGTCTTGCTGATTTGCAATAATGCTGCTCCGTCATGGGTGTTATCCTGAGAAACTTAAATTCCTTAGTCCCCTAGGGCTTGTGGTGAAGTGAATGGCAAAGCCTCAATCAGTTCGAGAGCAAAAAAACTGGGATTTTATTCAGGTAGGTGTTTCTTTCCTCTCCCAGAAATGTGATGAGACCACATCCTGTGCTGTAATCAAACAGCATTTGTGCTTGTCAGTCACGGTCCCCCTGACCCTGCTCTGTACACAAACCAACACACACACATAGAAGCACAGAGTCCAATAGAAAAAGGAAATAAAACCCTAACAAAAAACCCAACCAACTTTCTCTGAAATCATTTTGGCCAGACTCCTCTTATTTAATAAAAAGTTGTGATACAGTGCAACAATACATCCTGCATGCCAGAACAGGAAGAATGCTACTTTTGTGTAGGTAGGGAAATAGTTGTGATGTACAAAAGAGATACTGTTTTTCCAACACTTTGGCCAAATTTTACACTTAGCTTCTCAAGTCGGGAGAGGGTGTGACTGTAGATAGGATGTAGCCTTTGAAACTCCATCTCCACAGAGAAAAGACAGATGGAATCCAGCTGGCGGATATCACACACGTTTTCTGTTCTCCTCCGTATCACAGATCTGATAAACACAGAAGAATAACAAGCCTTTATAGAATGCAGATGAACAGAGGAGCCTATCTGTATGTAAAAGAGAAGGGCCTCAGTTGACTGAATGCTTATTTCTTCTAAATGAAAGTTAACTCCCACGATCTCATGAAGCAAGGATCTACCTGCTCGAGGCACACATCTGATTATACACCAACAAATGTCTTGACCTCCCATGGCTGTTGTTATCCTGATCTCATCTAACATCATGTCATGTCAGACTGACATGGATATCAAGGAAAGGCCATGCAGGTGGAGCATGTCCAGTGGAGTTTGCTGGGTTGTGTGAATCTCTGTATTGGAGAACACGATTGCTGGTCTGTGATCATCCAAAGCCTGCACTCTGGCTTTTAAAATAAAATCTTAGAAACCTGGGAATAATGTGCTAAGACAAGTGTTGTCTGGTGATGGGAACCAGGAAATGGTGGCTGTGAATACCTGAGTGGGAATGACTCATCCAGTGACCTGCTTTGGCTCTGCTGTGTCCTCCTGTAACCTCCTCATCTTCCCTGCTTCTGACAGAGCTGCAAGGCTTTGTTACCCAGAGGACTCTGTGATATGATTCTGTGCTCTCCAGCAAACCTGCCACAATTAATAATAGAAGATGCCTAGATTAGGATCTGATGTTGCTCAGGCTATTACTGTGTGTTTCACCTGTGCAGATATTGGGTCACATTCTAAAATGTTTTTGATTAATAGAGGATGAATTTTTTTTCTCCTTTTACCCAATAAGGCAGCACTGTCTTAATGGAAAGTGAAGCCATGACAGAAGGTGGCATTATGTTAATTTTGATTTCCTCCGAATACAAAGGAGATGATGCTGACATGAATTCCCTAAAGAGGTAAATTTTATGTGTATATTCATTTAATTCACCCCTGTACTGGGATGGTACTCAAACATCTTTTTTCTGTTTTCTCCTGTATAAATTACAGCAAAGCATTTCCTTCCTTTTGTGCTATTCTTTTATGGATGAAGGAATTGGTGTCACACAAAGGAAATTCCAGAATGTGGACTCTTATCAGTATCAGCAAAAGGCTCAATTGTCTCTTAAGATGTCAGCTCCTGAGCTTGGCCCACTGCTACCATTTAAATCTATTTATAATTTATGAGGTCATGGCCATAAGTTTTTTCTTTTAGTTCTCCCCAAAGGAAGCAGTGAAACTAATTTACAAAAGACTTCTGGTCTCTGGAAAGACACAGTGAAATACAAATAAGATCACAGGTTGTTACAGAAATGTAGATTATTGGACCTTAAATTCCTGTCTCCAGCAGTGGCCACATCTGCAGCTCCAGAGCATGTAGTAATCTCCCCATAACCCCTAAATACTTTGAAGCCCCTCTGGTTTTGCCTGCTGAATTTCAAACCAAGAAAATAAACCATAGCAATGAGATACCTAAAACCAGGGGTAATTTTAAGAAGATTTACCCAAAGCCAATTGCACTGAGTAGGAAAAACCTACTCTTAACTTTCACTGAATGACTTTGCCCAATCCTCATGTATTTTTTACCTCAGTCTTTCAAACTGAAATTCTGAGTTTATACAGCCCCAGCTCCTGTGCCTGCAGAGAGGTACTTCTATCTATGTCCATTTTGAAGCAAACAAGGCATTCTGTCAATTTTAAGCCAAATTGCCCAGTGCCTTTCCGCCTGTGCACTCTGCTGCACATTGGAAACACTGCCTCAGCTCCAGCTCTGATTTCCCCATTCAGGACAGTGAGCACATGCCATGTTTTCCACCTGATGGCTGAAAACCACAGATCAGGAGAGAATTTGAATTTTATTTTGTGTTTCCTGAAGTCACTATAGCAACTTTACTATCATTATTTCCCTATTTTCAGCCAATAAAAATCATGTTGATTATAACATTAGAAGAGAATACAATATTCTAAGGGCTTTGGGATCATTCTGGAAATGTGGATGCTTTCATTGTTTCCTATTAATTTTTCAAGGGCCTGTAGTTTATCTGCCCTTTATCCCAAGTTTGATTTAGATTATTGAAAAAAGAAGGATAAAAATACCCCATTAATAATGTCTCTTAATGTATGGGATGGTTTTCCAGCAACACATGTTCTATGTTTTGTTACTTTAAATAGATGCAGTTTCCTTTTAGGAAGATTCCCTCTAGGAAGATTTCTTTTAGGATGCCTGAATTCTAAATGTCCTTTCTATATGAATTTGGCATTTAAGAACATTGGTTGGTGGTGACAAGTATTGTAGTAGTAATATACAACAGAGAAGGTCTTCTTGTGCAGAGGAGTAGAAGCTTATCAGTTTCTAGCTGATTTGGGAATTCTATTCGATCATGTTTTATAAAATACTTCCAATTTGAAGTCACAAAGGTATGAAAAGCTACACAGCTACAGCCAATAGTTACACTGCTCCCCTGAGGAAACAAGGGGTTGAAGTTTTGCTTTCCTAACTGATTTCTCTGGAATTCAATTTTTTGCACTGTCTTCTGTAACACAGACCAGGAATATTATGAAAAGCCTGCCCTGCAGTCTGAATTTCATCCCAGACTCAAAACTGCTGTGAATATTCCCCTGGAGCTGATGGGCAGCTGTCAGTCACTTGTCCTTTTGCTTCTTGAGACAAGTAAACATTGATCTTGATCAGCTTCTGCTTCTTCCACCATTCTGCTCTTTTTCTTAAGGTTCTGCATCTTCTGATGTTTCTGGCTTTTCCTCTGGATCTTTGATGACACCTTTGTTCTTCACTCTGGTTAATTGGCATTGACTCATTTATCCCTGTTATGTTCTGTTTTCACACTTTGTGTTTGTGGTCTGTATGCTCACACTCAGAATAATGGGCTCTGAGTAATTGATTATGCAGAGAATTTTCTTGAAATCTTTAGAACTGAGCTATTTTTTTGGTAGAATAAGAGATCTTAGACTCTACAAACACAAACCACAGACTATCAGCTCAACCTAGAAAACATCCATGTAGGAAAATGGGTCCTTTTAATACCCCAGACAATTACACATGTGTTTTATACAGAACAATACCACTTACAATTCAATTCCTGCATCTTTTCACCTTCATGGATCTTCCCAAGCTTTTTCCCAACTAAGTGTTTCAGATCATTCCAATGCTCACAAGAAAACATTGTCATGCAGTATCAGTGGTATATTGTCTGCAGCAAATGGGAAAAGGACAAGACCTGTAGTTCTGACACATTCTTCTTATCAGAAATAGTCCACAGCATTTTCTGTGTGCCTGAAGAAAAGCTTCAACACAACAGTGGCTTCTCAAACCAGGACTGAGTCCCACATAATCAGTATCTGGTGGCAGGTGTTCATCAGGTTGTTCCACTTAACAAAAGGTAACTCCTTACCTAACAG